CAGGAAAACACCATGCAGAACTCGAGAGACACCTCTCCATGTCTCCAAATCAGAAATGAAAGTGAAGCGCTTTGCCAAAACGTGCGCTCCTTATTATTACTCTAGTGATGGCTACTGTCTTTACTGTTTTGTTGAAAAAAAATGGGAGTTACTGAAGAGCTAGAGACAGAAGGGGCCAATGCACTTATTAGTTATTCCCTAAAATCATTTTAATATTTAAAATTACAGGCTTCTATCACATTCTTCAAGCACTCTAAATGTGGTACTCTCTGGCTCGTTTTTTTTTTTTTTTTCTTTCGTTTTTTTTTTTTGAGATGTTTTTGCTATAGGGCTCATGTGCTCACCAGAGAGACAGAGAGAGACAGAGAGATAGAAAGTGAGAAATCACCCAGGGGGGATGGCCACCCCGCAATCCCTTCTCCTCCACTCTCCTCTCAGGATCTTGGGCACGCACGCACACGCGCCCGTGTGTTTTAAGTCACCAGGTCTGGGATGCGAACTGCAGTCAACTACATGGGGGTCGAGCAACATAGCCATTACGCTAACTGCTGGCTCCCTCTCTGGCTTTCACGACAGGCCTGTCTTTCTGAAGTCCAAGAACTGCAGTCCAGAAGAAGCCCTCCAACTGTAGCTGAACGCATCACAGCCAAGCCAAGCAGCCTATGCAAGCAGCCCAGCTCGAAACGCGTGTGGGCGTACCCAAACGGAGGCAGGCCTGAAGATGGCACTTATGCCTGGGGTAGAAACATTTTGGAGGTAAACTTAGCATGAAGGCCACGTTTCACAGGTCTGGGTTCAAATCCTGGTGTTGATATTTCTAGATTGTCAGGTCAGGCAAATTACTATCCCTGTCCTAACTTTTAGATGGAAACTGTTGGCAGTGCAGCTAGCAGGTGGTATGGGGTTACAGTGGCTGGATCCCACGTGACCGACTGCACAGTTTGAGCCCCTGACTTGCTAACTTGAAAAATAGGCTGGGGGTGTGTGCATGCATGCCCCAAATCCCCGGCGGAGAATGGAGAAGGGATTTCAGCGTGATCATCCCCCCGTGGCGCTTTCTCACCATCCCTATCGCTGTCTCTGGCGAGCTCATGCACTCTACAACTAAAGTTAAAAACAAAAAAGTCCTGAAGGATGTGCTATTGTAAATAGTAGTTTGTCTTTCTTATTTTGCGAAACATTTTCATAAATTCCCTGGGGCAAGAGGAAGTCGCAGAGATGGGGTGGTGGGTTGGTGGAGAGGTGAGGAACACAATGCACGCCCCTAGAGGTGGTCCTGGAGGCTGGCAGGGGCGCCTCAGACGAGTTCCGCCCCAAAGCCTGACCAGTTTCAAAGTGTAAGGCAACCGTTCCTCTTTGACAGAGACAGGGTACAACGGTGAAAGCGATCACATATTCAAAGTGGACAACCAAGTTTTTTGTACTTGAGAAATAAGAGAGATAAATCCAAAATGCATACTCAAAATTGGGGACACAGGTCAGGGAGCTCTGTGCACCTGGAGGAGAGAGGAAAGTGTTTTTTGTTTTTTTGTTTAAAGAAAGTTTTTCAGAAGAGAATGTCATAGACAAGGCTCTGAAGCAAAGCTGGAATGTTTCCTCCCTGCTAGTTTCTTCAAAAGTCCCAGAGTTCATGTTGTGATGGGAAGTCTTAAAATGCTCTTAGGAACCTCAACTAGAGCTGGCACTTTAGCAAGGGCCCGTGCAGTAACCGAGGAGCAGGTACGGGGAGACCAGGCGGGCAGAATACACAGCCCCACAGACTCGGCAAGCACTGGCAGTAACTCTGACAAAGATCACGTACGTCTCTCTGTACCCGGGGGAGACTTTCTGATTTATGCGACACTCCACGTAACGTATGAGACACTCCATAACTATCATTCCATGATCACGTAATGTTTTAAATAAACTTCATAAACGAAGGGCACTCTGCTAGAGGCTGTGAAGAGGTGTTGGCAGACTAGCGGGGCTGGCTGGCGGGTTAGCGTCAATAGTAGGCGCAGCAGCAGGAGCTGTAAAGGGACTGGTCTGCGCCCTCGGCCACTTAACATTTCAATGGCAGATCTTGGGAAATATATCCGAAGTCTGCTTGGTGTGCACGGAAGTGGGCACATCCACTCTGACGGGAGTTCAGCCTTTCAGAGGACAATTATAGGAGAATGCACTTCTAGAACTTTCCCCAAGGATGTTTTCATGAACTTCTGCAACAATTGTTAAGATCTTTTCTTTCTTTTTTTTTTTTTTTTTTTTAATCACAGGGCTATTTATGACAGAGCCAAATTAGAAATAGTTTTTAAACCCATCAGTACGGAGTTATTGAAATGGATGATAGCACATGGGATAGGCTATTATAATTCAATCATCAACTTTTAGGAAAAAACGACAAAGATGTTCAAGACACATTAAGTGAAGGTGGCGTAATATAAATCACAGATTCAGCAAACACACACACGCACACACACATTCATGTAGAACGGAAGACTGGAAGAACGTTATTGGCAGGTATTTATTTTTGGATGCTTTCTTTTTCTTGTGTGTTTTCCTGTGCAATATGTGTATAGTTGCAGGGGATGCTTGCAATTGCCAGGGTTGGGGGGAGAGAGAAAGCACCGCTCAATGGGGCACGGTCACTGGCAACCCTTTTCCCTCCGCCCCTCCTTCCCGCCAGCATCCTGGGCACGCACCCACGAGCACCTGCCATGTTTTCAAGCCACTGGGCTGGAATTCAAACCACCGTCAGCCACACAGGATCTGGCTACCTTAACCCATG